CTAGTAAGAAGCTGTGACCAGTGGAGCTCAACTGTGTCAAGTAGGGACAGGTATCTACTTTAGACAATGGATGAATGGCTTCGCAAGATCATAGATCGATTAAGGTTAGACATTAACAATGTTGGGTGTCAACTCACTGTACTAGAGATTAAGCGTTCTCCTGCAAGACCGCAGGTTTTGGGTTCGAGTCCCGCATGCGTGATCGTGAATGTACACTGCTAAGGAGTCCCATATTAGGCCGAACTGGCCGTCCAATGCTCTCGTGTTTTCAGTGGTGGTCTAGCTTACATGGACTCATGAATTCAACTATTAAAATTACTACAATCTCTACAGATACCCATTCTGATAAAAAACGCGCACTTCCCAAGAACAATAACTGATTTACATTACCGCATACACAGAGAATCTTTTTTTGTCATTATTATTTTCTGTTGAACTATATAGAATGGAACATGTATAGTTGCGAAAATTTTAACCTTTGAAGGATTTGCAAAATTACGCAACAACCACTCATTGAACTGAAAACTATTGTCATGAAGAATACAATCTTGTCTTTATTATCGATACACTTTACAAAGCGAAATAAAATAACTTTTAGTATTAAGAATTTCTTTTGATAAAATCATCCAGTCCTAAATATTATTCATTTCTTTCACAGAAATTATTATTAATTAAAGAAAGCGTAAAAGTTTATTCATTCACCGATCCTTGACGTTTCGCATTATTAATACATCCCTATTCATTATTTTATCACAATGATTTATCTATATGTTTACTCATATATAACGATTATTACAAGATCAAACTATGTGTTAAGATAACTCATGGAAATCACTTCACTACTTATGCATTAAACATTTTATTAGCTTTCAAGTTCAGTAATCACTGTTATCTACTATTAAAATTAGTTATCAGTATTTTTCCAGTTTACTTTTAATGACATGTATAATCTTTCTCTTGTCATGAAACCTAACAACTTCAGTTCTATTTCTACATGATCGAAAAAAAAGTAAAATAGCAAATTCTCACATCCAATCAAAACACTTTAGGTTACCTAGATTTGAACTAATTAGATTGCAAAATGCAGAGTTTACAACGAATTAAAAGATTACTATTGGTAACAAAATGTTTGTTCATTGCCACATGAGCACATACATTCAAAAAATAAGTTAACCAATCATCTATTTCAAAATTTTTTAATCAGACCCTAAAATTTCTCATCAACATGGGGGGTGAGGAATCACAACTCCCGTGCAATAATTGTCAACTCTAGATATCCGCACACATCATCTTACCTCAAGTTTTACACTTTGAACATTGTTAAAATAACTGGACAATTTTTAGCACATAGTTGATATTTATGAACTATGTTCGATAACTTTCATGTTTTATTATTCGCCTTGAAAAGGTTTAGACTACAATGCCGATTGGACTTTATATTAAGTTAATAATTGAGACTTTTAGGAGTGATTATCAATCCTGGGATGCAGGTACATCCAGCTGACGAGTCCCAAATAGAACAAAACGAGTGTCCTGGATTTCGCTGATAACCCATCTTTGCTTAAAAAGCTTGTGAATTAAGGCTATATCGAGGCAATCCGTACAGGATGCACATTTTCCAACAAGAGACTGATCAATTGCAGTCATAAATAACAATGGGAAGGTATAAGTAAAAACAGCACCAGGTTAATATATAGTTACCTCCTTCGGACTGAAGGCAGAGGACAGAGAAAAAGCTTGCAGATGGCTGACAAATTGAGGTGTAGATCATGTTTGGTCAAGTTTAACTGTGCAGGTCAGAAGGTTTAATTAGTCAAGTGTAGGATAGTAGGCTAATAGATGCGGGACAGAAGAAATTATAACGTAATTTTAACTGATGAATTTAGCATTTAATATCGATTAGTGTCTGAAGTTATCATGTGAACAGTGGTCCCAAAATATCAGTAAAAATTCTGGAAGCATATTTTATTACATCAGAACTTCATCAGCTATTTGTATCCACACCTTAAAACACTATTCCATTCAAGTTTAATACAATTGATCCCTTTGATAAATTTGGATAGTGTAATTAGATGACGATTATCAGACATATTCTATTCACTGTCTTACTACTAAACATTACCTGTATATTAAACTTACAATAAAAAAATTAGTTCGAAAATATCTAGATATGGCATAATGGAAGGAAGCGTAACTTTGTAGTCCGACCCAAAATTATTATCTGTATAAATAGCACCATGAAAGTCATAAAGGATGAATAACAATAACTGATTGGCAGGTTGGGTAAACTAATGTTGGCCCAGAACCGTATATCGGTATGAAATAACACATAATACGAGAAAGCAAACAACGGACTGGTTGATCACATACATCCAATTCCGGTCGGTTTAGCAGAAGTGTTAACTACCGGTCATATAGGAAATAAACCAAATCGATTAAATGTCACAAAGTTTAGTGGGTTCCATTTGAAATAGTAAAAATCACGACTATCTATTTACATTTCAATATAATTTCTTTCAAATTACTTCTCAAGTAATCTACCTTGGGGTTAGACGCAAAATTATACATAAGTGTAGCAATTTAAAAGATCATATTTTGAACCTATATCGATATAGGTAATTGGGTCATACGTTGACTATGAGATCATATTGCTTATCGTGACGTACGATAGAAGCTTAACTCAGATTAGTTAAGTGAATAGAACAAGCAGACTTATGTATTAAATGAGTTCACAAAGTCACAGAATGTTAGTCCATATTGTACACGTAGGTGAGTGACTCTTGTTAGTGTGAACTCTAGATGTTATGTTTGCTACTGATTTCAATATGAACGTACTTTTTTCTTTGTTTAAACCATGAATATTTTGAATTTTTTCTTGCCCTTTCTCGAATTATACAATTCTTTTGATATTTTGTTAATTTTTCTGATTTCATCTGTTGACAACCGTAATGATAGGAATCTATTTATTTTTGAGGGTAATTCTACATTGTCAAAGCTGTTTGTTTTATATCAAGACAAAAGTGTTAGTATAAGCTCAAATGATGTAGGAAAAAGCCAAACAGTAAGTTTTAAAATTAAAAACAAATACTATTGTGGGGTGTGGTACATATATAAGTAGTATGTAGCACCGGTCGGAAGTGGAATGCCTGCCAGCAGAAGATTGACAAAAATGGATTAGAGAGAAGAGAAAGCAATTGTAATAACAACAGTATTGAAAGAATCGTAAAGCATGTAAATGACAAATGAAATAAGATGTGCAAATAATGTATTTAATGTATGATTTTCATATGCTAAGAAGCCACTGTGTTATTTCCACAAACAAACAATAGGTTTAATATGACTCGGAAAAGTTTGAGGATATTATAATATAATACACGCCATTATTCTACTTAACGCTTTAATTAAATCTTCAGTGGAATGCAATATATCTGTTAACTAACAAGAGACCAGAATGTATAGTTTTTTCTTTCAGACTTTTATGTGTTGGGGACGTTTTCTGTCTAGATTGTTTGAACTACATACCTTTAACTTCCAGGAAATTCACATTAATTTCAGAATCCATCTTTTTGTTAATGAACAGTTTCCTCTACATATTAATCTTCTTGTGTCAATCTATTGTGATTAAGATTAAAATATCGAACAAAAATTTAAGTTTTTTTTATTGAGATCATGAACCGACTGATGTTAGACCACCACCTTTGGAAACCTGGAAGCACTGGACGGCCGTTTCGTCCTATTGTGGGACTCCTCAGCAGTGAGCATCCACGATCCCGCTCGCGGGATTCGAACCCATGGCCTTCGGTCTCGCGCGCGAACGCTCAACCAACTGGACCACTGAGCCGGCATCCAATGGTGATAGTGTCTAACATCAACCAATCCACGAAATTGCGCGACCAACTTCCATTGTACTGAAGTAGATACTTGTCTCTACTTGACATCGATTAGCTCCACTGATCACGGCTTCTCACTAGAACTCCGAGAATTCCCTCACGAAGCTAGTCACTAGCGAGCACATGTTGATTACTAGTATGGGGGTTGTGGAGATTATTACGTTTTTTTATTGAGATCATGAACCGATTGATGTTCGTGATCTCAATAAAAAAAACGTAATAATCTCCACAACCCCCACACTAAAAATTTAAGTATCTGATAGACTACTCAGTCTACTTACTAAATATTCTAGCAATGAAGGTTTTAAATGTTCTGAATTCTTCTTATTGTAACATAAATATAGTCACATAGGTAAATGTCTATTCAAAAGTGACACTTTTAAAACTTTCTACAAAAAATTATTTAAAAGAATCAGAGCTATATTATATACACCATTATGTTCTGCTTTAATAAGAATGAATAATTTCCAATCATTGTCCACCCAGTATTTCTTTAACATGAGTAAATATATTATAAATATGTCATATTTCAATAACTATTATTTAGATATTTCATTAACCTATGAATGAAAACTTGTCATAAATGTCATAATTGTGAGATTGTTATACTTAGACATTGTACTTAACAAAGGATGAATCATATAGTTTTAACTGCTTTAATAACCGTCAAATTATACGAAGTAATTTAAGTGGGATTTTTTTTACTGGACATTTTCAGATGTGAATAATAATATCCTGAGTGTTACCTATTGTAATGAATGAGTGGTTTATTAGCTTAGACAAACAATAAACGTTAAAATTTATTTGTTTAGTGATTAGACTGATATATATATAGAGGGTTAAGGTAGAGTAATTCCCCGGAGATTATGTAGTAAGATCTTTGCTTCTAATTCTTCTTATTTCTAACTATCTCATATATTTGAATATAGCTGACAATGTTCAAGCAAGATAATAACTTATTTATCATTTATAAATTCAAGAATATAATTCTTGAAAAGGAAACCATAAATGTTGCCGTCATAAAATCATCAACAGTTTTAGTCATTGATTTTATTTTCCCCAGTAATCAATTTCATCTATGATTCTTATTACTTTCTTTTTTAGACAGTTATGTGTTTTTCAAAGAAATCGGGATTACTCCAACTAATAATCATATCATTGAGCGTATTGAGATTTTCTACCGGTTTTACGATAAATCATATAAATGGTACAGTTGAACAAATAGATAATAATACACTATATCAAATATTGTCAGTTCAACGACATGTTGTTGTTTATTTCTGTAAGTAATAATTTATTGCCAATATACGAGATGTTCTTTTTTATGATCAACTTCCGTATTGTTGCTCTAAAATTGTTAATATATGTACGAAAATGATAATTTATTTACTTTTAAATCACATTTATCTAACAACCGATGGCTGGCTAGGATTTATAATATAAGAGCTCTGCTAGTACGAGCTTTGATGAATTCGACTAGTGTAGCTAAATTCCTTTAATGGTATCATACGATTGACTGATTGATAATTGTTTAGTTTTCAAAATTATTAGCCGATGAGAGCCAATATAGTAAACTGAGACGGTTTCGATCTGACAGAATAAATCACTAGTAAGTTTTAATTTAGATTAAGGAAACAACTGACTAACCTTCACTCAATACTATATTCAATTTAATTGGCAATTTAGAAATGTCTGTCTTAATAGAAATCTAACTTAAGTTTTATCCAATTTATATTAGAATGACTCGTCCGAATTAGTTAAGAATATAAGTACTAAGAATATCTTTTAAAATTATACTTGAACAAAATTTACGTAGTTGATTCCCCTTATGAATTTAAATAGAGCAAGAACAAACATTGATGCAGCTCAAATTTCTTAAGACACGTTTCTCTGTCTCATCTGTTAAGTCTTTCTGGGTATTGTCGATCATAAATCTGGTGGAGTTATTTAAAATGGACATTACCTTATTAATATATTCATCTCTGTTAAGAATGACTACACCGGAACCCCTATCCGGACGAAGTAGTATTATTGTTTCTTCTTTATTAAGTTTTTCCAATGCTTGATGGTGATCTTTGGTGAACACCTTTGAGTGTGGGATTGGTGTCGTAACATACTGGTTTGTGATATCCACTAATTTAGATTTAAACCAATTATGCTTGTCGTCGTTCATGGGTTTAAGGTCTGACAATTGTTGATATAAATATTCAAACTGCGTCTCAGTGCCTACTGTGTTGCATTTTCTTAGGATATGAAATTTGAATCCAAGGGAGAGTGCTTCAGTTTCCATTCGACTTAGTTTTTTATTCGATAAGTTCTGTATGTATTTCCGTGGATTGGTAGGAAATGCCACATGGTTTTGTTCTTTAACAAGTGTTTTGGTTAATGTCTTCATGAATTTGTGACTGGTTTTCGACTGAACATCGCGAATGAAGTTAATAAGTTTAATACGACATACAATATTTAAATCCATAAAAATTTTGTCATAACCAAGGGATTCTATTTTAAGTTTAGAGATAAGTTCCTCAGTGCATTCAATTTGGGATTTGGTGACTCGTCGAAGATTTTTTAACGAAGGAGGTATTTTACAGGCACGGACAGCTTTAATAATGTAACGAGGAAAGCAGCCATTATTAAGGCAACGTGACAAAAACTTTAATCTTGTTGTTTCTCTCGATATCCTGCAACGAATTGTCACCAACTTGTTGAGTGACTTGAAAATGTGGACAGGGAGACGGCTTTTCAGAAATTTCATGCAATTGGTTCCCTTTATGAATTTAAATAGAGCGAGAACAAACATTGATGCTGCATCAATGTTTGTCCTTGCTCTATTTAAAATTTACGTAGTTCGTTCATTCTATTTATGACAACTGGAGAACTTTTGAAAGCAAGCAATAAAAAGTCATATTAGCCCAGATAGGGACTTTACTTCAGTAAAAACCTCACTACACTGACATCAATGTTTAATTTCTACATGGATTTTGTGATTGATGTGGTGGGAAGCTAATTCATTTTGATTCAGGTCATTGATGAACTTAAAGTGAAAATGTAAATTGAACTATTTAAATATTGTTGTACCAATTACAACATCTTAACTTCTTATGTTCGATTCCATCATATAATACAGTTGGGAATTTAAATTGTTAGAGAATTCTGAATTTAAAATGAATAGCTTTTCAGTACTATTTAGTTTTTTTTTCGAATTCATTTATCTTTGTAATAAGAATTGCTTTCATACTAATACTTATTGGAATTTCATTGAATTGATTGTTCCTTCTGCTGTACATAGATGTAAAGATAAAAATCACTTCATCAATTTAACTAAACCTTAAGTTTTTATTCTCATTTATAAGTTCAGTTAAGGTATTGAAAAATCAAATATGTTTGGGTTAAACTTGTTGTTTTAATCAATCAGTTAATTTGGAGATTGATTTCATTATAAATCATCGTTATTTGAATAAAGATTTTTAATGGTAATAACAATTAACTTTAAACCATAGGATAAATCTTTCTTAACTATATGTAATTCTAAGCCTAGTAGTATATGAAGTTATACTTAGTTATTGAGTTAGATATAGATAAATACGGAACATTATTTACTCTATGTAAAATAAGCTTGGAAAACAGTCTGATACCCCGTAAATCATAAAATTATTAACAGTAGATTTATACTAGTTTATTAATTCTCACCAATCGAAGTTTATAAATTTCCTATAACAACGAATCAAATACTTTTCCATATTAAGTAAATCTGGTGTAAAGTAAAAAACCTAATTGATGATTAGTAAGAAGAATATTTTATAAAATAAATACAGCCAAACGTAACTACTACCTATCAAATTACATGACAATCACACAATAAGAATATATACATCATAGAATGTATGAATTCGAAGTATATACACTTGAGATATATGATAATAACGAGATTTATTAACTATTTGATGATTAGAAAACCAGTTGAAGTCCAATTTAATTATTTAATTAATAATAATTATTTTACAATATTTTTAGATGATCATGGTCATCAGCAAGAATCAATTTATAAATTATTTAATGAAACATCTCATAAAGTAGATGAAACTATGCTACCAATTTCAGTAGTTACTGTATGTGCAACCTTTTACGATGAGATTGAAAAGAAGTTGAATATTTACGTAAGTACAGCTTTATTTCTATTTGCATTATATAAACATATGTATACACTTTAATATAATACAAAATTTACTTATCATTCAATTTTATACATTTCTACTATTTTTTTTTACATATTACATTTATTAATGTTTAAAATCATGCAAAGTCCTGGCAGGTGTTATTTTATCAGATACTAACCATCGCCTTCACTCTTATCTTTCTCCTTGTATATCTTCTGGTAGAACGAGACGTAATTACATTAAAATCCATGCACGCAAGCAAAAGTATAAAAGTTCGATAATACCTTATCTAGGAAATATACTCTGTGACAAACAGGTTGTTAGAGTTAACTTAGTCAATAACTTGCATTCTTGACATGTCCTTAATTTTAAAAGTTGTACAGTTTTTCGGGGTTTTTTTTTGAAAAAAACATTTCTCTTTTTTTGTATTGGTTACTGTGTTTTTTTGTTGTTGCGTAAGTAACTTGTTGAAATAACCTGTTCTGAGAATTCTATATTGTATCAAAACTATAATATTGAATAAAGCCATTAATAATAATAATAATGCCTTCGTATTTTTTGAAAAAAATTGATGGCTATCTGGACTTGATATCTTATTGGATAACATATTTGGTGTTTGAAGTGAATGGCATTAGATTTGCGTCCCAGAGTAAACGTCAGCGTAGGTGCAGGTTCATTCAGTTGACAAGTTCAGAATAGGACGAAACATGCATCCTAGAGTCCACCAACAACCAAAACTAAATACACTAAAGCCACATTTTTTAATTTTTTTCTTTTCATGGTATCGTCCATACTTCATAGTAGAATAAGTAATTTTTATTATGACCATATTCAGTTATATTCTAGGTAAGAAGTATACTGGAGTTTTTTAAGTATTTACTGGAAATAAGCTGACTGCTAAATACAACTGAATTAGTATTGAGAACCATAATGTAACAGAATTAAAACCAATTATAGAAAGCATAGAACATCCTATCACAATTAAATTTTATATATCAGTCAGAATGGTTATGTATTCTGATGAGTCCCATACTAGGACGAAACGACCGTCCAGTGCTTCCAGGTTTTCCATGGTGGTCTAGCTTCAAATGATTCATGAGTTCAACCTATGAAATTTCTAAAAATCTCCACAAAACCCATTCTGAGATTATGTTATCATCAATATTACTTAATTACTTCAGAATGACCAATTCGGTGAGCATTTATCAATTAGTTTTTATTATTTTTAGCTTTGTAACCTGGACTACATTCCTATGGTGTTACTTATATATAAGTAATGAAGTTGATTTTTAATTATCCTAACACTATGTTTTCGTTACTGGCTAAAGATAGGACTTATATTACATCTAAAAAAGTAACATAATAATAAATGGATCCTATTTATTTTAATTTTACGTGATTGACATACACAATTTATATATATACGAATAGTATTTATTACTGATTACACAATAAAATTCAATACAGGAAGTCTTGAATTGAATGAAAGTTATAAGAATCGTTTATTTTGCAAGAAATGTCGTAAAATGCCACTTCCTAGAAAACTTGTTTGAGTCAAGCAACATTAATAGTGTTCATATATGACCACTTTGAAAGTTAAAGTATTGAGAATTATTATTACTCTTATCATTATCCTTATCTCCTCTTACCCCGTTTCCTGTCTAGTTGACCTTTTATTTTTATATATAAATGCTCTTAACAAGTATATGTGTGACCAGATTGTTCGAAATGTATTGCGCTAATATATCACATAGTTCTGATAATCTTCGTCTTCTAATATCATTATCGAAATAGTCTATGAATCAAAATATAGCTTGTAACAAGAGGATTATAGATATACAATAAGAACATACATTCAATATTAGTCCATAATTAGTTCTCAGAAGTTACCTATAATTTAATCTTCACTAGCATATAACAATTATATAAATTTTTTTCTCATATTCTATTTGTTTATTTTGTTAAAGATACCATCAGTTACATATTTTCGTGATGGTGGAAAATATAAATCCGAATATAAAGAATTAATGAAAATCAATGGAAATCATGGCAATCCAATATATGAATGGATAAGACGAAAAATTGGTTCACCAATAAAATTATTAAGAAGTATTAATGAAACCAATGAATTTATTATGATCAATAATCTAGTTGCTATCATATTTATGAAAGTAAGATTAAATCATATATTTCTACACTACATTCATTGAAATTAAAATTGTTCAAAAGAAACTCATCCAAAAATAATTATTGAATGTTAAACTCTAGCGATTAAATTACTTTGCAGATTCCAACTAGATTGTTCATGTTCACTTGATATTATTTGTTTGAATCTTCCCATTGAGGTTTAAGACTGCAATTGATCATTCTATTATTGGCATATGTACATACTGTGCGTATAGCCTCGACTGTTCATGTGACCAATGTTGGTAAACGTACATAATCACGTTCATCAAAAACGTTAGACAGTGAAATGAGTTTTATTTCAGTAATATCCTAAAGTTTGCATATAGTTCATATACAAATACGTCATCATTCTTGAAAATGTTTTTGAGTTCACTTAGTCTTTAGTAAATAACAATAGAGATAATAAGTATCATTTTATTCAGTATGTAACATTATGATATTTTAATGTAATTGGGATAATCATATGTGGTTTTGATTAACACTTGTCCAGATGAATAATTGAAAACATTAATATGAATCACCGAGATTCACTTTTACTTAATTACAGACTAAATGCTTTAGGAGGTAGATTAAAATGCAGTACAATGGAATACCATATCTGCTTGGTAAGGTCCAGTTCACAGACTTATTCACTTTATATACACACAATAAAGATTACGATTCAATAAATAGAGTATGGTCTAGCAAATGAAAATGAACCTAAATCAGTATTTAATATAACTAAACATTTCTTATTTTGGTATTTCAACATAAAATGTTACATTTCCGTTAAATGCGTCCAAAGGATCATATGATCTGGAAAATAATCTAATTGTTTTAAATGCATCTCCTCAAATACTGTATTGACCAACTCAATATTAAATGAATGAGATGTTATGATGAAACATAACAGTTATGTTACAATAGACTATCCTGCAAAGAGACCTCTTTTAGTATAGGGGTTGTGTAGTTGGACGAATTTTGTAGTGTTGCATCACATACTGATTTTAGACAACCGATGAGGTCCATGAAGTACTGGATAACTGTTTTATTCTGTTATGAGAGCCTTTAGCAGTGCCCATGCAGGATCCAACTGGGTCCGAATCCAGGACATTCAGATTTCTCAGTGAGTGCCTAACGTCCAGATTGATGAGTTGATATTTAACGACTTGAATTTCTGACCCTATTAAATTCATGATATCATGCGACTATCAATCATTTCCGTTTGTGATCTTTGTTTCACACCTGATATGAGATCGTGAATATGCGCTACTAAAGATTCTTATACGATGATGAAATAACTTCCCATCCCTTCTGATTCTCAATGATTGTCTAAAATCAGTTCATAGTGTAAAAACAGAAATGACCTCTATGTAAATTTCTTCTTAAAACTACACAATAGCATACATATACATAAATAGCATATGCTTATACATACACACATACACATACCTTCAATAGAAATCAGTTTTTAATTATATTGTTAATACTGTCATTGTTTGTATGTTGAATAATTTCATTATATGCCCAATTTATTTCTTCTTTATATTTACAGGATTTAGATGAAAAAATAATGATGAATATTAGTACAGTTGCTGAACAAGCTGATCATATAGTATATGGCTTAGTTTATAATGAAACAATTTTCGATCGTTTCAACATAACAAACCAAAGTTTATTGTTAATTAGAAAAGAGTCTGAAGAGACTGAGGTAATTTTATGCATAAATATCTGTCATTTTAAGCCGTATTTATGAGCGATAATTTCAACCATATTATTATTAAGACATTCTGATGCATTTAATACTCCAGTAAATAGTAAAGTATAGTTAGGACAAAGCTTTAATTAAATCAATAAAGACACAGTTGATGGAAAGATATATTTTATGGACGAATAAAGATTAAAAGCTTCCGAAAACTAATGTAGTAAGTTTAGAACAAGCTCCAGTTATAATATTGACTCGATACTTTATCGACCGAACTATAAAATCCAGTTGATTAAAAATTTCGAACTATCTTATCGTTCATTATTAATCATGAAGTACCCATTTATCATTTTAACTCAGTGTAGAGTCTTCAGGTAGGCCAAATCTTTGAAGATGAGTCACGTCACTATATTTTGAATATTGAGAGTTAGACACATAAATTTGAAGCATTAACGCTTTCTGGTACCAACAGGTGATTTGATTGTTATATGATAATCCCAAAGACTGTTTTATAAAGAATGACTGTAAAGACAATCTCATATCAAACCTCATTTTAATCACATAAACGTTTATAATCAGTTTCAGTGATAATTCAAGTGAAAAAAATTTTACTAACTTTAGAGTATTATATGGTGAATAACAATAGAGTTTGATAGAAAAGTAAATGTATGATTAATTTGGAATACTTGTTTGTATAAAGTAATCAAAGTAGAGATAACGTAACAACAACATTGTATCACGATTATCTGTAGTCTGTTCTAAACAAATAGGAAATATCACCTGACAAGTGTCTTAAAGTATAATCTTACTATTACATGTAGGGTTATCACTCAGTACCCTAATAGACAAACGTGTGATGCTTGGAGTGATCCGTACTGGACTCAAATCTCACTACGAATGATAACATGACCGCTAGTATATTGAACATATTTTGGATCTTACTTATATTCTACTGTACAGTTATATCAAGTAAAATTATAGGTAATAAATGAATTTCATTTGGTATTTAGCAGGAATCAGTAAATGTTAAGTTTCACTTAAGAGTAAAGAAAAAAAATGTTTAGATTAAAATATAAATGATCTAGTTTTCTTTCAATTTTTGTAATTCACTTTTGGGAAATTAATTTATAAAATGTCTTTACCTGTTTGACTGCAATAAAAGAAAATAAGTACTGGGTTTTTTATTTTTCTAACTTTGATCTATTTTTAAAGAAATTGACTTTTCAGTTTTTGTAGCACTTTATTAATAGTTTTTAATTGGAATCGTCCATCATTCCGATTACCTTAGGAAATATAATGTATTTTCATCTTTTTGGAAATATAATCGATCGAATCATTTAAATAAATATATTTGTTTGAGATCATGAATCGATCAATGTTAGAACACCATTGAAAACCTGGAAGCACTGGACGACCGTTTCGTCCTATTTTGGGACTCCTCGTCAGTGCGCATCCACGATCCCACTCGCGGGATTCGAACCCAGGACCTTCAGTCTCACGCGCGAACACTTAACCTACTAGACTAGTGAGCTGGTATCCGATGGTGTTAATGTCTAACCTCAACCAATCCACAAAACCGCGCGACTATCATCCGTGCCGGGTAGAGACAGGTATTTTAGTACAACAATAGAAGAAAACGGCCATCTAGTGCTTCCAGGTTTTCAATGATGGTCTAACATCAATCGGTTCATGATCTTAATCAAACACTTAATAATTTCCACAACTTCTATACAGATAGATTCAGTATGTAGTGTAAATTCAATTCAAATGCAATAAACATTACAAATCGTTTATACTAATAAGAACATATTTCGTATTTTCATTTTTATTTTAGCCATTTCGTTTAATTTATTCAGATGATTGGAATATTGAATCATTAGGTTCTTATTTATTTATTGAATCTTTACCAATTGTTAATGAATTCCAATTTGGTGAACTAACTTACTTTGATAGTGCTACAATCAAATATGATACATATTTATTTCTGATACAGTCTGATTTTGAATTTTCATTAGCATTAGATAATTATCGAAATGCTTGTAAACTATTTAGAAAAGAGGTATGTGAAGTAGTTGTGTTTTTTTTGGTTTTTAGTTTCTAAATTCGTATAATCTAATTTCGTCATATATCTGTTAAATATTCAATTTTCTAGAAAGTTCGTAATGCCAAATTTGTAATTCTAATCACTGACCGACTTTGATGCCTAAAGAATTTTGTTGCTTTACACAAACTTTGACTTACATTATGGTGTCTTTTGAATTTAAATTATTCCTGTAAATTTTGGGTTTATAAAAACCGTTTCAATTACACATTATTTATTACCGAAAGTCATGTCAAACATTGATCTTTAAGGATAGAACCATAATGTGTTTATTCAAACACATGTATGTTGTGACGGACATTTGGATTCAAAATAAACATTACCGGGTTCTGTGTAGGTTCATACTTAGGTATATTACCAATCAATGAAATATTTCAGAAACGTGCTTCAGATTTCAAATCATTAAAAAATCAAAGGTTGTAGATGCTTCGTTGATTTATATAAATACTTAATTTGTTGATTTGGCAAAACTGAATATCTCCTTAAGGAACCTAACCTCGAATTTCAACTCGATAAATTTTACAAAATAAAATCGTTTAATGATTGACGAAGCATAAGAACAGCTTAACTGACTCATTCCGATAAAATGTATTCAACCTAAATAGTACGACTGAGTTACAAATCAGAAAACAAATGAATAGTTAAGGTAACAAAGCAATCAGACATCCTTCACTGTTGTCTGACGTAACTGTAAAAGAATTGTAAAAACGAATGTTCTAGAATTTATTTTAATAGGTTTATGATTAGGATTTAAGTGTATATACTTTATTAAAGTAGTATGCTCCACAGGGAGTTGTCAAAAATTAAATCCAACAGTTTTCACAGGTGAACAGTCAATTATTTATGAAGGCTCAAGTTGTAAACTTCTAGTAATGACTGTCTGATGTATAAATGAAAATAGATCATAACTGATTGGTTTCATGCTTTGAAGATCAGATTTATATCTATATAGTTTATCTTCAGAACATTGAACTAATTAAAATCTTGATACAAGTAATTTGAAAGCAGTTGAAATATTTGAGTGATTTTTTTCTTTCCATTTTTTTCTTTTAGATACGTTGCTATTTTGTTGATATGGAAAATGAAATTAACTTGAAATTTAGTCAGCAACACGGTGTTCATGTTGGTTATGGTTATCCACGATTTCAATTAGTAGCTACTTCCAAAGAGAGATCACGAATTCGTTATCGTCTGAAAGGACCTAAATTTGAATTTGGACGGAAAGGATTTAATAATCGTGATCTGTTGAATATGATCGAATCGCAAGAAATTATCAACTTTTTTAACCAACTCCTACAGCGTAAATTATCACCTTACTATATAAGTGAAGTTGTGCCAGAGTATGATGAAAACGTCAGTGATGATTATGAAAATATGGGACATATTCCCTTGTCTTGTATGACTAAAACACCACCGATGAAATTAAAATTTATACATAAAGTTGTTGGGGCAACATTCAAAACATTAGTAAAGAATCCTGACTGGACATCTGTTGTTTATTTTAGTGAGTCATTTGTTTATCCCAAATATGATTACTATATATATATATATATATATATATATATATATATAAACGATACATTTAATCGTTTTTTAATGCCGTTTAAACATTGCCCTCGAATATAGCCTCTAAGTTTTGAAAAAAAACGAATACTGATTGTTATTGAGGTTTATTGTGTCAATGAAAACAGATAACCTAGTTTGCTAAGTTTCATTCTCATATGAATGCTCTAAAAATGATATATAATACATTACTCTGTGAATAATATTGTCCGACCGGCCATTTTTTTTAAAAAAAAAATTTTCCAACCCCAAATTACAATATTTTTCATCCCGTGTTTCGTCCAATGAAATGGCTAGTTCCAAAAATTAGATTTAATTGGTTAGTTATGTCTTGAAAATTGTTATAAATTATCAGTACTTGTCGACGAAGCACAATCTCAATCGTCATTATGGAGCAGAGTAACGTGCCTAGTACAAGCGCTGGTGTTTCTCACGTAACGGAAATGGAGGAAGTCTTTTTGACTACCTTGTTTCTGGTTGCATTTCCATCGGTTGAAGCGTTAAAGACCACTATCACAAATTTTGAAAGATCGACTTACAGTCATTATGTAGTGAGAGATTCGCATATTGGCAGAGATCAAAAATCCTACATTAAATTTGTGTGTTGGCGAAATGGGCGTATAAGATCTAGCGGTTCGTCACAACGTATTAGACGGAGGAGGTAATTTGGTAAATTGTTTTATAAATTTTTTTAATGAAGGGCTTCTATGAACACCCAATGTCCAGCATTTATGTTTTGTAAGATTATAGACGGCTATTGGACTGTTGTACGTGGGAATGTACATCACAATCACGAGTGCAATTCCCTGAGGTACCAGGGTAATTCATGGATGCGCAGGTTAACGGATGGGGAGTTTGAAACTGTGAGACCGCTGCTGATTTCCGGTACCGCTGCATTCCACATAAAGAATTTTGCTTACCAATCTTATGGGAAATGTCTGACCGCTCAAGATGTCTGCAATATGCGGTACAAAGTGTTCTCACACGCGAACCTTCCTGGTACGGAATTTGCCAATTTATAATGTACACTATAGGTGATTACGGGAAATTGAAAGCTCACATAACATCCTTGGGTGGGCTTTGCGAATACGAATTGGACGATGAGAACTGTCTATCGTATTTCTTCTTCATGACTGCTGAGCAAGTGAATTTGGCCGGTCACTTTTGTGACGTAATTGGTTTTGACGGGACGTACAAAACTAATAACGAGAACGTCCATTTATATCAAGTCGTTGCCATGGATATGAATTTTAAGGCAATACCCATGTGCATTGCCTTTTTAAGTCGCGAAACGTCGGCCTTGATTTCTCGATTCCTCTTCTTTTTCCAACGGTGTACCAACAGTCGACAACTGGTAGGCATTGTGACCGATGATTCACCTGCAATTGCTGCTGCTATTACGCAGGTGTATCCGGATGCACACCATATTCTGTGTCGCGTACACCTTGTTCGGAATGTGATAAAGAGGGTAAGTGTTTCGTTCATTAACATTAACCCAGTAACCGTTATTGTAGAGGGTGCGATCAGAAATTGTACAACTGTTCTTTCGCCTCATGTTCACTCGAACGGTTGAAAGGTAAATCAAAATCTACATAACATGATTTTGTAGTTTTAACAACGTACTTTCGTTAATCGAAATGTCGGACGGAACATTTGGCAGATACGTCAGAGACCACCTTCTACCACGGAAACACAAATGGTCCACTGCTTTTCGACCGCCATCCACTCTCTTTGAACTGAATAATACGAACTTCGTCGAGACCAGCCACCGAGTCTTGAAGATGTATCACCTTAATCGAAAAACACCGGTTCTCAGATCCATTTTCAATGTGCTGCTTCGTACTGGATATTGGATGGAAGCAAGATTACATAAATATTCGATGGATTGTCGGGGGAAAGCCGGTATTGGTGAGGAGCCGGAAGTACGTCGACTTCAGGAACGACTGACACCAGTTGCCTGTCAACTACTGAAGCGACACCTTCGCATTCCTATAACGCAGTTTGCATTGACGGAAGATTTATTCACCGCTATGGACGCCACGGGGACGTACTACGTACACGTCGACACTAGCCGTTGCTCGTGTCCATTCTTCATTGAAAACGGATTACCATGCCGTCACATATTGGCTTACTGCACACACAGTAACACCGATGTGAACGTACAGTCAATTTGTGACAGGTGGTTACACTATGATGGTTATCTGACTCATATTGCAGTTGAAAATTATTTCCCAATGCAATTGAGTCAGCCAAGCATGAAGAATGCGGTGATAGCGTTAATCAGGCGAATGTCGGAGGAACAATGCAGTTCACTTCATGACTTCATAGTTCACGGTAGACTACCAACAACGCCAGTAAACTTACATGGAGAACAGCATTCGTACACCCTTTCAAGAACCTCGACTAACGTAGCAGTGCCGTTTATACAACGAGGAACTGTTGATTTGGATGAAACGCTCAGTAACGATGAGGAGGAAGTAATTTCTATCAACTCCGAAGAGTTAACTGAACGGGACATCGAAAATGAAGAAGAGCATGACGAGAATCGACTCTGCGACATCTGTAATCTTGCGCAGCCTCCGTGTGAAACCGGTGATGCGGTTGGTTGGGTTTTCTGTAGATGTGAAGCAATGTTTCATACCTTCTGTGCCTACGACCCATCGCCGAACGTACGAGCAGTGCACTGTCCTATCTGTGGCGCCATTACAAACTAATAGTGATGACGTTCGACCGCGAGAACGAGTAAAGGCCCTTTTCAGGGCCACCCACAATTTGATTTCCATTATTTTTTATCTACTACTTTTCCGCCGCAAAGGTCAAGTGATTAAGCACTTATTAATGTCTCATGAATTTAGATATCCCTTAGAGATTATTAGTGGAAAAGCGATTATCGCTCTTGTATTCGTAAACTTGTTTCTAACGTTTATTAGATATAAAGGTTAAGAAAACTTAGACAAGATTTTGTCATCTAATGAAGACTAATCTAGTAATTTTATATTTAAAATAATGTGATTAGCGTTCATGTTTTAGTAACACATTTGTAAACTATCTAATAAAAGTACATTTTGAGTACATTTTAATAGGAATATTTTAAATGATTGAAAATCGTAATTTTGTCGTTAGGTCAAAAAATTTATGATGACATTTATTAGTGAATGTAATAAGATAATTACAAAGATGAATGTGATTAAACCTCATAGAGAAGTAAACGAAATTGAGAAAATTAACTTATTTAAGAATAAAATAATGACATTAGAAAACAAGTTGAAACCATCATCATTGAAATGATTCATGTGATAAAAGGTCATATAGTAAGTGTAAAAAGAAATAAGAATATTATCCGTTTCATGAATACAAAAAACAAGAACTTCATATTCTTGTTTTATATTAAAATTTCCTAAAACCAGAACTATGCGTACGTAAGAAGTACGTCTGATCGTCAACTAAGCCTCCATTGTTATTCATAACTACTGATTATATCACCGTTTTCATTTGCACACCTCATCAACTATTTATGACTGGTACAATCTCATTGTACCAGTTAAATATTCCCTTAAAATATTCAAAAATAAAAAATAATTTAGGAAACAATCGTTTTCCTTAACTTCATCATCACACTATACAGTTATTAGTCCATAATTTTAATATTTTATAAAGTCCAAAAATAAAGCATGGCATTAATGAATTTGACAATGCAATATGTTAACAATGGTTAACGTTTACATCTGTAACGATATATATGTTTACAAATTAAAAAGGTCATTCACTAAAGGTCGGGATGATTTGCAGTAAAGTGTTCAGTCACAATAAGTGACTAAACATTCTAGGAAAATTGAAAATGCAAAAAATTTTGTGTCAATGAAATACATAGTACAAGAATTGAATCTTGTCAATTGACATAATAATAATAACGATCATAAGGAAAATAGATAAGAATAGCATTGTAAATGTTCATTGATACAGTTGACCTTATTCATATTTATACATTTAATGTCGATAGATATTTGTTGAGTCAGTCAGACGACGTAGGCTTGTTCATTCACACTTCATGAAACTGATATTTCAAATGCTTGTCAAAAACGGTTACATTCATAATGTCTAGATAATTCAGGTTTCATATTATGGCGGTTAACAATATTCACACATGACTGATTAAACACACACTAGTTTTTATTACGACCAAAAAATTAATTTTAAAATACAGAACTACAAATAATTTACAAGTGAACACAATAAACCGTTTCAATGGACTTTTAAAATTAACCACATTTAAATCTAACGTTGTCTAATTCTCATTATGAATGAACATTTACAAAATAATCCTTTACTAAATATTAAGTGTCTATTTCGGAAAATTTATTACTACTTTCATATACTGTCAAAGTCAGTTCATTAAATGATCGTCTACGGTTGGTTCACCTGAATTATACATATTGCAACCAGTAATTTATCATGATGATTTATTGATATGTTGATTTCTTTTTCCCATTAACACACCGTGTGTTACAAAAAAACCTATGCACACACTTTGGTGATAATTTGTTTATTAATTTGGTATTAAATATTTGACTACCGACCTCATTCAGTAATCACTATTATCAAATATTAAAACCGGTTTACAGATGCTTTTTCCCAAAAACTTTTTTTTACTGAGATACATATAATTATTCGTGTTCCGATAACTAACGACTTCAATTCAAGGTAAAGTAGATCGGAAAACAAAAATTTATCCCAATACACATTCACTAACAGTAGGATTGCATGGTAATGCAATTAAGTTGGTGTCTTTTTCTTCAAAAGTCTAAATTTTTTTCAAGACTAAGATTACACAAAAAAATTATTCATTATCATTAAATTTCAAATGTAAGAAATGAAAATTCTGACATCCAATCACAGCTCCAGATGTGATTTCGATTTCAACTAATCAGATTACAAAGATGAACAGTTTAAGACCAATCACAAAATTATTAAAGGTAACAAAATGTTTGTTCATTATCACTTGAGCACACACTTGCAAAACAAGTCCACCAATCAACGATACCTAAATTTTTCATTCACACCCCAAAATTTTTTTAAAAGGGGTGGTAGGGAATCATATAGGCCGGTTACTTAATGTCAACCTTACTCTGTATTATAAAGCTAAACTTCATTCATATTAATTAGAGGATTACGTCATGCGAATCGATAAATTTGGTTTGTAGATAACTTCTAAATCACTTAATAATGTATGCTGTAGATCATTAACATTTCCATATTAGAGACCACTAGTGGTTTTTATTAGTTATTGGTTAGTTGCAAGTATACCTAATTTGCGTGAAATATTAACTTGACTAGAATAGTTTTTCTACTGAGCATTCAAAGGAAAAATGTGAAAATGTCTTGAATCGAATCAAAAGTATTTCTTAGTTTGAGATTTCAAGTTGTTTCACAGAACTTATACTGATTTATTTTAAGTGAAGATATCAAAAACAGAAAAATTAAACGTGTTCTCATTTATTACATTCCTTCAAAGTTAATTCATTAGAATTATTGTTACGCGTCAGTTCAATGATATTTTAGTTTTACTCGATATATAATATCCAGATTAGATCCTCCTTGTCCATGTAAACATTGAGATTGAATGAAAATACTTGTAGTAATATTTCGGTACGTGTTACACTTTATTAAGATTTATCATTTTAATAGGATATTTGATTTTGTGAATAAGATTCTATTCACAGTCTATCTCTCTTCGGTCTGATAGAATTAAATATATCATTTTATCATCTTTGAATAACAAAACCTATTAGATACCTCTTGTTACTGTCAAAAAACACACCTTAAACGGAATAAAATTGAGTTGATGGCTTCATTCTCGTGACTTAAGTCAGATGTTTACTAAATAAAATTATTTAATAGATATTCTGTTGTAACCCTCAGGCGAAAATTCATTCTTTGTATGTCTAAGTAAAATTAGTCTTCCTAAATATTAAATTATACTAGTTAAAAGCTCCAATTTGCCGGACAATTAATCTACTGATGACATCTAGCTTAGATAAAGTTTCATCACTACAGCTACAAGTTTCTCAAAAATTAGTTCTTTGATCACATTCTATTTTTAGCAGCCAAATGGTGTATGGGATGTAATCGAACAATTCATGAAGAATTTACAAAATTATCACAATATTATCAAGAACTTCATCGAACCGATTTATTATTTGGTTATTCATATTATGATTTAAATGATTATGAAGAATTAACAGCTACTAAAATGCCTCGAATTAAAATATTTCCTAAACAATCAAATGAACAAATCGATTATGAAGGTAAAGAACATTTTGATAATATAAAAGAATTCATTGAAACTGTTGAGCGTACAGTCAAATAATGGTAAGTGTTTATGTATGTTTGGTAATTTAACCTATCTTCAATTTAATGATGAATTCGGGTGAAAATTTAAATAGGTAATTAGATCTTGTTTAATGTTTTTGGATGAATTTAATTAACTCATTCATTTTTGTTACGATATTTTTATGCTATGTTCTTTAGTAAAAAAGAGGTGATTACAAACTAATGTTAGGTTACTAGTGCTTCAAAAACTGATTAGCTTGTAAACTTGTTCAATACATTTCTTATGCTTATGAACGGAATAATTAATGTTTAACAGCTAAGTAGAACTGGGAATTTCATTCTAAAATCAATAGTTTATGGGGCGAGACCATAATTTGTGCATGACCTTTGAACGTATCTTAAATTATCTTAAGAAAGTTCACTCAATCAGAAAGCAGTAGGTATAGAGTAAGAATATATTATAAAAAATCAAAAATTAGTGGGGACACACTTCTTTGACATGGTTTAAGGACTTCTCAAGTTTAGAAAGAGGCTCTACAGTTCTGAAGTCGTAATGTATACGATACAGGAACTCGTCCATACACCTCCATAATAGTCAACCTCTGGAACCATGATAAGGTCGCAAAAATTCTTTTAGTCTCCACCACATTGCTCCTATGTTATTTGTATGCACTCCGGTGGTGGGGTCTACAAAATTTCACTTGTTGACGATGACACGATACACATAATCAAGTCTATGTAAGCATCGATATGCTCTCCAGGCATCTGTATATACTGTTGTTTCCGGCTACACGTACTCTCGTATAATTGGTATTATGGTTGTAGCTTATCGGTTTCTAAAGCTCTGGAAGTGTCATTTTTAGGATGGTCTATCGTATATACCAAGGACCTGTTAAGTATATTTGTGGAAACCCTACTTACCCAGTCTTCTTTAACACTTCGTGCTCTATTGAATTTACGTTTTCTAACAACCGTCCCGTCTTTATCTATGATTCTCCCACCTCCTTCAAACGATTCATGAAAGTATGTGATTTTTATGTCACATATATCTCGACAATACTCATGCCATTGAACTGCCGAAGCTTCAGTAACATCTGCAAAGGTTGTAGTCGGTGTTATTGGTACTTTTATTATCCAGTTTGCAACAATTATCGTAATCTGTCTTAGTCTCAATCGGAAATGAGAGAAAAAGGTTCCCGTTCTAAAACACGTTTTCCTCAAACATATATTACGTCAAAATACATCATCACGTTAGTTTGTACAAGGTCCAGGAGTCATTTGACCACTGTAATCACAAATAAAGAAACTTCTCACTAATCCCATCCGTTGTAGCCGCTCAATTATAACGTCTTTAAAATCCTCTGTAAACCGATCGTATATGATCATTGGACACTGAAATAGGTGCAATAGCCTTGAGGTCGCTCAGTAGTTTCTGACTGGCTCGTCCGTAATCAAGAATTCAATAGAAACATGCTTAAATATGTGTATATTAATAAATGACGACCGTAAGTAGGAGTATTGTGATAATAGTTTTCGATTTATTCTCTTTATCCTGTGACTTCTTTCTTCTTTGTTTTACAAATAAAGCAGTCAATTCTTCGTGATCTTGTTATGCATGCTGAAATAAACAGTTGTACAACCGAAAATTATCTTCAATCACAGAAACGTTCTGAATACAATTTAGAAAATTGACTTCATTTAAAACGTTATGCATACATTACATTTCTTTGTACAAGAAAGAATATTTTTTTGAAAAAATTCTCATGTCATCTTTATTTGATAATGATTATGTTAATCTCATACTTCCTTTCAATTCTTCTATAACCTTATTTCTTACAATAAAAAGAACCTTTTCAAACTGAATGTTCCATGAACAACTTTGTTTTTAATTAAATGCAGTATATTTCATAAACTGATTTTTAGTGTTATTTTTGAGTTAAATATGAAAACAAATATTTAATAGGAAAGATTTTTATTACTTATATTTGATATTTGGTGAGTAATATACATACACTCATTATCATTATAAATAATCTGCAGAAATTCACAAATAAGCATGACAAAGAATTATTGCAATTCCTACAAAATTGTACCTGAACTGGAATAAAACATGATCAATAATTTATAAACTATAATTGATTCTGTAAATCTATTAGCCAAAAGTTTCCAGAATTTATTATAACATAATTTTAAACTCATTTGGTATTGTTTACTTGAATCTTTTCAATGAAGTTTAGGATTGCAGTTGATCAGTCTCTTATTAGCATATGTGCATACTGTGTGTATTGTCTCGATTTTGCCGATATTGTCTTATTGCATGAGTAAGTGGCTGTCAGGACTCAGTAGCTGAGCGAATAACGCGATGGCGTTTGAAACGAACGATACTGCGTTCGAGTCTTGGGGTGAACATCAATTCTGTGATGCAGGTGCATCCAAATGACGAGTCCAAAATAGGACGAAACACACGTCCTGACTTTCACTGCTACCCATCATCTGTCTTTGCTTTTAACGCTTGCGACATAATTTTAGCTTGTTAAAATCATGAGCATAATGTTTGTCGGACGATGATACCCAATGACGCAATATTTTCAACATATAACGTTTGCTCGTGCTATTGAACTACTGGCATAATCTCTTAATTAGACTGTCATCCAGTGAAAGCACAACTAGTAGGTAGAATAGTCAAATAATGCACCTAATATAAACTGTTAATGAAACATAAGTATGACTGGATACCGGTGTTTTTTAATCACTTAAGTGTTAGGACACTATCCGGTCTTATTTTTGCGCTTCATATAAGGATGTAGTACAGTTTACACTACATTTCTTTTTCATTTTCTCTAAACCTAATATCTGCAAACTCTACCTCTGAAGTTGCTAATAAACCGTATCATTCAACTCAACATTGAACCCTAAAATAGATGAGATACTCCCACAGGCTCAGAGAGATAAGTAAGTAGTGGAATTTAAATATTTTCATCGATATTTATAGCATCAAAACTGCGTTACTTTTTAATGATGGGATTTTAAAGAAAGTTTTATGATTACTTAGCAAATTATTTTAATCATAGGACTTTATATTGGTCTATGGAAAACTATTTCCAAGACATTTAGAATAAGTATATAATGATTACAACCGATGTTATAATGCTTATTTTGTGATCAGAAACAATAGTTATATTCTCATACAGTGAATGTTTTACAACTATGTGGAACGTAAGTAAGATTGCATATGCTTTTACTCTTTGCTAACTTATTATTGGATCAATCGACAAATAGTTCTTTTAGCTGTTATATTTTACATTTACTCAAAAATATATAATCTGTTAATAATAAAAAAACTAATTAATAAAGCAAACTACCATTACTAATAGAGGAGAAATATGAGACGATAGATGAAACAAATTAAAATGAAGACGTTAATATTTAGAATAATATATTATATAAAATTAATGGGACTAAATGTGAGTAGATCTAATCCAGTAAGAGCTATTTCAAATGATCATATTTGACTATGGACGGGTTTAGGTATTCCCGTTGCTCATATTAGTGGTTACATTTGATTGCTCTCTTAGCACGTATACATCTTGAGTGGATTGCATTGATATTGTCTTAGTTACAAGTTTTAGTAAAGTTAATTTGAGGCTGGTATTAGAATTCAGGACTCGTCAGCTAAAATGTACCTGCCACAAAGTTTTGATGTTCACATCAAGACTAGAACCTTTTATTTTAATGGTCAGCTTGTTATCCATAGAGATACTGGATCCAAACACCCCCTAAATTGTTTGGTAGGTAAGTACCTATATATGTAAGGGTTAGAGCTTTACTATTATTGATATTAAGACTTGAATTTGACAAGGCTTTCTTAGAGACTGTCTAGATTCAGTGGCTTGTAGACAACTCACTGGGATTTAAGGCGAAATCTTACTTACAGTATTCATTAATTAATTTGTGTACAATCATCAAGATGTATTCAACTCAAGTAACAAAAAGTAAAATATTGCTCAGCATACTCCTCTTGTGATAAAAATATTTTTTTACCGCTACAACAATTAATGTATAGTTAATAGTAATCAAACGAATTTTTTGTATTCCAACAAGACTTCATAGGTTATTGTCTCACAATAGTTGATGAAGCTTTTAATGTATTGGAATCCTAAAACTGACACAAATCAACAATTACACATGTAGATATTCGTATATATACAATACTCAAAAATAATATTTGGAACTAATTATACTCAATGAATACTTTGATTTGTTCCATTGTAAACCTAATTACTCGTACTTGTAAACCGTTAAGTCTGGCAATCTGTGCACTCAATAACGTTGGTAATAAATGGTAGAAAAAAAGAACAAAGAAAGAAGTAACATTTAAGAAATTATGATCTTTTTCTCAAGCCCCTTTTAGTTTTAGCATTCTTTTTGTTTACCCGTATTATCTACCACTGTTACTTTTAAAATTCCTTCTTTTACACTGTTAACATTATCTCTCAATTTTTTTTTGTCAAACATATTTACTTATAAAACAATCCTATAAAAATACAAATAATGTTATCAGTATGAAAACTGTTTTGCTATTCTTTGACGATATTCATGATATGACCAGTAATCTACAGAAAATTGATTACATTGTTTTTATTTGTTTTGTAAATAGCCGAAGAGTTTATAAAGAATGGAAAATAAATTCACGTTACTGTAAGGGTAATAATTACAAAGCAATTAATTTAGTAAACATGAATGATAACAACATTGTATATAAGAAAAATATTTTTGTACATTGCATACATAAAGTCAGTGGATATGATAATAATTAGGTTATAGGGACTAAAGTCAAGGAGAATTTTATTGACTGTCTATAAGATTATTTTCATCTAAAAAAAACTATCTTTTAAAGTCGAGAATCTTTTCTGAAATTTTGATTCTTTACAAGCGTATTCGCTTGAAAATTTTGTTTTGTTAGAGTAAAATCAAAGAAAAGCAGACAAACAACTTAAATGAAAATCGTATCGAATAGTTATTTTCATCACTTCACGATAATTCGTATCACGAACTAATATCAACTGTAAAACAGCTCAAAACCAGGGAGCGATTCATACAGTGAGTTTCAGTTTATATTGCCTGAACTTCATTAGGACAAAATTTGAAGTATATGAACGGCTCCTTTCAAATTTGAATAAATGGTCTCACCTCACATTTGTAGACCGTTTCAAACAATGGCCAGAAAAAGCGTATAACAAGGATATTACTGAAGAAACTGTTGCTCGTGCTTTTAACCAATGGCAGGTTAAAAACTTCAGTCTCATCAATCATTACGAAGGACTGTGGTCGACATTCAGAATCTGGAATATTCTATGCTCTGACTAATCTCTTAAGTGTAATAAGATTTTGAACGAACAACTACCACATACAAGTCGGTGTTATGATACAACGATTTTACCAACAGCCTTGAGCATCTGCTTCAGCTGTAAACTTATCATGACGTACGGACAAACTTGTCTTACTCGGAATTTATAGTTCGGTGAAAGCTGATAATTAATGTGCTGCAGACAAACTGATTTGTGCACAATCCTTCGAATCCCGGACAGTTTTGTGAGTCATTCATCTTCTTTACGCAACACAGATCTGATATGATGGGATGAAAAAGGCAGAATCAAGTTTTTAACCCACTGTAATTCTTGTTCAAAATTAAATTCATTTTAAATTCAGTAGCATGATAATTAGGTGTACGGTGTTTCTACTTTCAGTGGAACATTTTATTCAGTATAACAATGATTTATTTCAGTCCAATGTTTATTCAAAATATGATGTTTTTGTACTGAATTATCGTGAATTATATTCTACATGACATGCGGTGCCCTATTTTCGACTAGAGCCGCCGCGTCTATTTCGGAGTCAGGAAACCTTCATTTCTACCAGTCATCCATGTTCTTACATAGCGTCGTGGAAATTATAGTGGTCCCTTGTTTTCAAATATAAGTAATAGGCAACGCGGATATAACAGGACTGTAGGGTCGATGAAATGTCACTGAGCCCTAGCCAAATCATCCGGCAGTTCAGTCACTGAATGTCGAATACGTCATCGATTCCTGTCGAAGTCAAGGACAACCAACGCACGTCAGTTAATTGTACGCTATAGACTGACCCGTGCGGTGGTGCTCACACTTTCGTTTGTACCTACTCTAAATAATACATTTCAGCAATAACGTCCTTTGTGTTATACGAAATTCAAAGAAACATTAGTACCTCGATAAGATGAAGGGACAAACCACGTTAGGTGTTGACCGTGACGTGTGACTTCGAAGTTAGCTGTTAGTCACACCGTTTCCATCTAACTCAAGTGGGCCCCCAAACATTTAACATACATCATCTACGTTTGGGGACCTACAAGACAATTACTCATATTTAAACAGACAACGCAAAATAATTAGTGACCATGAGGAGACTGCAACAGTTTTTGACTGGAAGACTAAATCAAGACATTGGGAAAACTGTGTGACCTTCGGAAGATCTGAAAAATTAGTGGACATTTGTCAGTTTAGAAAAATGTTTTTCCTAGCTTTTCGTGTTTTGTAACATTACTGTAAGGTTTTTTGCGCTTAAATACCCCAAAAATAAAGGTAAACTTTGCGATATAAATTTATATATTTTTGTGAAAAGATGGAATTCTGAGGTGTGTAATGAAGCTGTTACCGCTAACACGAATTAAGGTATTTTATGTCAGTTTTTATTTAGTCTCTGAAATAATGTATCTTTAGTGAAGCACTGGGATACCATCAGGATAATTTTTCAACTAGCACTCCTAATA